CCTTTTCCCACACAGCGCTGCGGAGCCTCCGTCCGCCCGCCCACCACCAGCGAGCCCCGCCTTCTCACCGAAGCCATTGGTCGCTCTACGGCCGCTTGACCGCGGCCATTAGTCGGAACGCATGTCCGTCACAGTTGCCCCGCCTCACCGCTTCCCACACAGCTCTGCGGAGCTCCCGGCCGCCCGCCCTCTCACCGTCGCTATTGGCCACCCATCTGTCACTTTCCAGAAACTATTGGTTTGCTTGCACGTCCATCACGACCATACTGCTCTAGTCGTTTCTTTGCTGAGCATACGGAGACATCCGTGGTCTCGTCCACCTTTCCAAGCACCGCCATCTCGCCCGCCCCCTCTGTCACCATTGGCCACTACTGTCTATCTTCCAGACACCATTGGTCCGCCCGCACGTCCGTCAGGCTCCCACTTAGCCCATCCCACCAATTAGGGACTTGGAACTCCGAACTTATTTGCATACGTGCCCCTCCCTCTAGCTAACTGGGAGCCACAAGCTGGGGGTCTCCGAGGGCAAGCGACGTGTCAGTGCCGGGAGAAGCTAAAGCCCTAGCCGGCTACGGCCGGCTGCGTTGGCCGTGGGCGACCTGGCCCACTGGAACTGGCCTCCTTCTACAGCCGCGCTCGTCGTGGAGTGGGCGTGGTCTGTCTGGAGGGCGAATTGTCGCTCGGGGATTTCGAGGGCGGGATTTGCGATCCCGGAGAGCTGCTGGGCTGTGGGGCAACTGCGCGGTTCGGAACGTTGATGACCAGGGTCGGGGGACGACAGGGCCAGACAGCAAGGATCTGCAGACGGACGGACAGGGCCAAGGAGATGGGCCGCATGGCCAGACGGCTGTGGTGGGGTAACGAACGACTGGGGCCAAGGAACGTACCGCAGAGCAGGACTGCCAGGGCCAGGGAATGGACAGCGGGGGCCAGGAGAGAATGGCCCTGGGGAATGGATAGCGGGGCCAGGGGACAGACGAGACAACCACGAAGCCAGCCAGGAGGTGATATGGGCCGAGGCCCGCTGCCTGCCCACCCTCCTGCAAGCTGTGCCGGGAAGTGAGCAGTGTGGTCAGCCCGCCTGGGGTCCGCAGGAAGACAGACCCACAGTTGCTGAAACTCTAGTCCCAGGGTAAAGGAGTCGTCGGGTCTCCAGGGCTCTGAAGGTGTCAAGGTACCAGCGCCAGAGAGGCTGAGCCCATGGGAGGGTCTGCAAACAAACCCTCTAGGTCCCCCAGGTACCAGGCCTTGGTAGTGTGGGTGAGTGAGTCAACAACCTGCGAGGCCCCAGGTGGCAGTGCTGTTGGGCAGTTTACAGCATGGGTGGGTACATGAAAGCGGGCAGAGAAATGTGAGTAGCCAGTGACCACGTGACAAGAGGCATCGTTTCAATCTTTGAGCTGTACACTAATGCAGAGTAGCACCCTTGCCCAAGCTTCAGGGTGATGACGACTGTGGGCCAGTGTGTGGGGACCCTTTTTCGGCCTGGCTCGGCGAGGCCAACAGGCGCATGGTGCAGTGTCTCACCTTGCCTGGAGTCACCCTCACATGGGCTCGTTACTGGGGCAGAGAATCCCACATTGAACACTGGGCTGTTTGTGAAAGACTGGACATCGTGGAATGTCCACTGACAGGGAGTGTGAATCCAGCCTGCTTCCTGCAGCTGCCCCCCTCACCCAAACAAGGGAAGGGAAGGGGCATGGTGCAGGAAGCTCCCCAGAGCCATGGTGCAAGGGGAGAAGAGCATGTCTTGGGCCCAGGGTTTATCCAAGGGAAGCAGCACAGGAGTGCTGGACTGGAAGGGGGTGGTCCCCTCAGTGACAGCAGTTTACTTGGGGAGTGTGTGTATGTGTGTGTGTGTGTATGTGAGGGGGAGACCATTGCTTCATTGATCACGTTATGAAAATGCTTTTTTTAACATTTTATTAGGGGTTCATACAACTCTTATCACAATTACATTTGTACATTCATTGCCCTCATCATTCTCAAAACATTTGCTCTCCACTTAAGCCCCTGGCATCAGTTCATTTTTCCCCTCCCTCCCCAGTCCCCCCGAGAATGCTTTTAGGTATGATATGTAATAGCTCAAAAAAATTCAGTGTAACATATGACAAAATAATAATTTATGAATTATGAAGAGTTCATGAGGGAGAGAGAAAAATGAGGAGGTGATATTAAGGGCTCAAGTGGAAGGCAAATGTTTTGAGAATGATGACAACAAATGTACATATGTGCTTGACAAAATGGATGTATGTATAGATTGTGATAAGAATTGTATGAGCCCCCAATAAAATGATTTAAATTTTTAAAAAAGAAAAAAATTAAACATACTACTACTAAAACTACTACACTATGGCTCTTAATTCACTTCAGTGTCTCCACCCAAGAGAAATGAAAAGTCATGCCCACACCAGAGGGGCATCAGGGTCTGCTGATCAACAGGGAGACACCACTTGGCAATCTGAAACAGCCATGGGCACCATTTTCCACAGACGCTTGCCCACAAGTGTGGACAGCAACGGCTACGAGAGGAGCAGCTGGTTCTCCTGGCAGAGGAATAATAAATAGGACCACGGGCCGTGCACGCATGGCAGGCTAGAATAAAGCGCGTGGCGCACTGGCTGAAATAGGCTGTGACCTGGAATGAACCTGGGACACTCAGTTTTGAGTGACAGAAACCAGGCCCTGAAAGACACAGGAGCCCAGGGTAGCAAACTGTCTGCCATGGGCCGGGACACGGCGTTGTTGAGAAGCTGAGCTGACCAAGGCTGGAGGAGGGAGAAAGGCTGCTTATTAATGAATAGGTAGTTTCTGTTTGGGGTGATGAAGTTTTGAAAATAAATAGTGGTGAAGGTTATACAATAACAAAAAACCCCACTGCCCTCCAGTCGATTCCAATTCCTCCTGATTCTCTGTTACTGTTTCCCAAAGTGGGTGGTAACGGCTCCTGGGGGGGTATGTGTGCTGGAATGACCCAGGAGGCTTCAAAAGTAGGCACCTGCACTTCCTTTCTGGTTGTGAGCTGCAGGACAAACGCTCTCACTGCTGGGGGGCAGCAGGCCACATGAAGTTGGGAACCCCTGCTTCAAAGGGTTCTCGAGGCTGTCAGTCTTCAAGGAAGCAGACAGCCTCAATTTTCTCCCTGGGAGCAGCTGGTAGGTTTGAACCTCTGACAGGCCTGTAGTTAGCAGTTGAACATTGAGGACCTCAGACAATGCCAGCTGAGGCTCACCCACCAGCATGTCACTACTCTGAAAGGCCAGGGGCTGGGTGAGGCAGGGAGGGCAGGAGTGGTTGAGGACTTCTAGTGGCTGGGTAACCAATGTTCCTGAGGCTAGCCCCACTGAGAGCTGGGGAAGAGGCAGCCCAGTAGCCAGTGTGGAAGTGACGTGTCACAAGAGTGTGGTATGCTGGATTTCTGAGTGACTGCGTGGCCCCAGAGCCGAGCCTTACCCTACCCCACCCCATAGTCCTAGGATGAGCAAGAAGCCACCCCAGGCCCTGGAGGTCACAGGAAGCTGGGGTAGGTCAGCTTGGTCTGGGAGCCTGGAGTTCTGGGGGACAAAGAGGCAGCAGCCAGGAGCAGCCCACACAGGTCCTCAGGCAGCCTCCTCTCACCCCGTGCCCCAGGTGCCAACCAGGCCTCCAGTCTGGAACCAGCCCCACCAATTGTTTAGCCCTGGGCATCCTTGAGGCTGGAGCGGCCCTGTACCACCCTGCTTGTTGCCTTGCAAGGAGTCTCCCAGCTCAACCAATGCTGGGGGGTTGGGGTGTATGGAGCCCTGCCCATTGCAGTGGGTGCCCATGTCCCCTCCTCTGCTCGTGACCAAGGAAGGATGAAGCCAGTCAGCTCCAAAACAAAGGGTTTATTGTCACAGTGAGGGTGGCCCGGCCGAGTGGCCTTCACAGAGCCCCAGGCCATTCGACTGGCATCTCACCCTCCCAGAAGGCATCCCCAGAGACAACCCTAACATATGGGTTCCACTCCTGTTGGCACCAGTGAAGAGGCTCAGCCCTAACAGCAGAGCGCCAGTGCCTGTCAGACCGCCCTGCAGCTCCCTCACCAGAGTCCTCAGATTCCTGGCTGGGCACTGCTTGGGTGGGGACTCAGGGACTGGTGAGCCCCCACTGAGGCACTGGACGGAGCATGGCTGTAGGCAGTGCATCCTGGGGCCCTCTTTCTGTCCCCCTGCCACAGGCCAGCCCTGGAGTGCTGAGGGGCTGGGGCACAGCTGCTGTAGCCGGACCTGCTGAGGCGAGCTGAGGGCAGCAGTGGCGTGACCCAACAGGACCAGGTATGTCCCACTCAGTGCTGTGACATGCTTGCCTAGGCCAGCTCTCCCACCTGCCACGGAGGGCCCAGGAACAAGGGACTGGGAGGGGGACAGGGCCCCCCACCCCCGGAGTATGAGGCAAAGGCTAGCCGGCTGGCAGCCCTCAGTCCTGCTTGCCCGCCTTCTGCCGCCAGGGGTAGATGAGCTCGCCGAAGAAGAGCTTGCGGCACAGCGCGCTCCAAGAGAGGCGAGGCCGGCAGCCACAGCTGGGCAGGCGGTAGGTGCACACCACGCGGCTGTAGGACAGCGGGTTTATCTGTGGAGGCAGGAGAGCTGTGTTGCGCCCTGCGCCTGCGCAGTTCCCTGAGGGGTTGAGGAGGGCGGAGCACAGGCACAGGCACAGGCACCGGTGGTCAGTTCTCTACTTGTTCTGGGCAGTGGCCGGGGCCAGCCTGGGGTGAGAGGGGCTCTCTCAGGGTCAATGCTGGGCAAACCCTGCTGCCTGCACATGTCCCTGAGCACTGAAGGGCCGGGGCTGCTGCCCACTCCTTCAAGGGCAGGTAGTGGACGCTGGTTCAGGTCTAGGAGGGGCTCAGGGCTTGCTCTGGAGGCATCTAAGAGAAGACAGAGGCCATGGAGCGGGGCTCTACCATCAGGCCTTGGGGTCCTGGCCATAGGCAGGGGTTGTTACCTGCATCAGGAGGCGGAGGGGCTTGCCAGCTTCATGATCCAAGACCCGGAACTTCACACCGGCTGAAAGCAGAGTACTGCTCAGACCCCCCACCCCCACCCCCACGCCCCTGCCTGCAGAGCACCCAAATGCTCACAGCAGGCCTGGCTACCACAGCCTCTATGGGCCTCCAGCCTGGGATCCCAGAGCCTGAGGCTTCTTGGAGAGAGAAACCGGGGACCTATCCATGGGTGGACAGAAGGCGGGGAAAGCTGTTCAGGGGCCCTTGTGATCCCCACCTGCGAGCCTGTAGGGGCGGCAGAGGCGCAGGCCGACCGAGTAGAGAGGCAGCGAGTTGATGAGGTCTATGAGCAGGTGGAGGGAGCCCTGCACGGCCACCACCAGGAGCCGGAGCTGCAGCAGAGGCCATGATCAGGCCCAAGAGCCCACCAGGGGCCCTTCCCAGGCCGCCCACCTGCCCCCCTCCTCCAAGCCTGCAGCTGCTGCCTCACCAGGGTGAAGACCAAGTAGTACAGGGCGATGGTGGGCAGGAGGAAGACGAGGATGGTGAAGAGCAGGGTCCCAATGAAGAGCTGCAAGAGACCCCGGATGAGTCCTAGGACCAGGCTGGGGCTCCCCATAGATTTGGCAGGCAGGCCCTGCACAAGGTGGCCCCTGAACCAGTCTGGAGCTCCCTAAAAAGCTAGAGGGCCTCCCAACATGCCACGAGATGCCACACTTTGCTGCTAACACCCACAGTTGTGGGATCAGTGCAATTAGAAACCAGGGGCAGCTGTGTTAGGGTGCTGTGGAGCAGCCCCCACACCCCTGAGCTCGACCAGCCAGGCGGGCACCCTCCCTGGTCAGCAGGCCCCCGGTCCACAGACACCTGGTCCAGGTCGTAGGAGCAGGAGTCCACTCGCTGCCGCAGCACGTTCCACTTCTTCCCCCGGAACAGGCGCCAGAGCGAGGACAGGCCGTGGATCTTTAGGCAGTATAGCCTATGGGGTCAGAGGTCAGGAGTCAAGGGCTGCAGGGGGCCAGGACAGACCCAGGGCTGTGTGGGTGGGGCATTCGCACCTGGCACCGTAGACATAGAAGCAGTAGATGTGGAAGGTGAGGAGAGCGATGATGTCGGACAGGAGGGACAGGGCGACCGTGAGGCCCAGGCAGGCTGACAGGCCCACGTGCCACAAGATGCCCTCGACAAAGGGAGACATGAGGTGGATGTAGCCTGCAAGGGGTGAGTGCCTGTGTAAGCCCTACGTGGCAGGGCCAGGGCACAGCCCCCTCACATAGCCTCCTACACTTACTGTCCCCTCACACCGCCCCTGCATATTTACCCCACCTTGTCACTGATCCACAGGTGGACGTGGTGGAGGAAGAGGCAGCCCAGCAACCAGTGCCCCTATACTGTGCCAACCCCACCCCCTGCACTCACTGATCCACAGGTGGATGTGGTACAGGAAGAAGCGGCCCAGCACCTGGTCCAGTGCCCGATTCATCTTGAGCCCAGCAGGTGCTCCCATCAGCCACTGCAGTAGATGCTGCAACTCCTCGGCCACGCACTGTAGACATGGGGGTGGTGGGGTGGGGGGCACTGACACCAAATCCCACTGATCTCACCACCACCACCACCCCCCTGCTGCTCCCCCCCACCATGGTCAAGGAGCCACATCTGTGTGACACGGCGTCTGAGGCCCATGGGACCACATGGTCAGGGTCCGGTACAACCAGGTGACCACCACCCACTGGGACCCCATGATGTTGACCCCTGGCCCTCTTCCAGCTCACCCTCAGGCTGCTGGATTCAGAACTGCCCAGGCCCACTCCCTATGTAGAGTCCAAGAGGGTGTGCTGTCTGGAAGGGACAGTCAGGGCCACCATGACCAGCCTTCGCTGTACAAGTTGCCATGGGGCTGCCAGAGCAGGGCACCTGGGCCACGTGAACAAGGCAAAGGCAGCTCCCTGCTGCCCTGACCTCTTCCACTGCCTGCTCAGAGGCCTTGTGGCCACTGCAGACGCAGGCCCCGAAGCGCAGAAGGAGTAGAATGCTCTTTATAAATAGAGCTTGTTTAATATTTAAAGGTAAGCCCTGGAGCAGGAAGAGGCTTTCATTTTAAAATCAAATATTTATGTCTCTGAGCACGTTTGCAAAAGGGAGGCTGGACGAACCCATGGAGGGAGAGTGGGAGCAGGGCCAAGCCACCCCTCAATACCCCACCCCCACCCCCAAGAGCACACTGCTGCCTGGATGCAAAGGCACCCAAAGGGCTGCCCTGAGGAGGACAAGCTCCCACTAGGGGTGGGGGCGTTTGGCTCAGAGGGACCGGGGATGGCAGCGAGGTGGTAGGTCAGGCCCAGGACAGCAGTGAGGCCACCACTGAGGACAGGATGGTATCACAGTGAAATTAGGAGGGCAGCTGATGCTGACCCAGAGGCCAGCGGGAGCCAGGAAAACAGGAAGGGACTTGCTTGGGGCGCAGGGGTGGTACACGGGCAGGAGGGGTTCCCACAGATGTGTGGGTAGCTTCCGGGACCATCTTGCTATCCCCACTCACATCAGCCACGGGGACCAGGGCATCGGCCAGCTGACCAATACAGTTCTCTGCACGGAGCCAGGCCAGCAGCGCCAAGCCCAGGGCCACGTCCAGCAGCAGTGAGAAAAACACATTGACCTTCCTGAGGACAGACAGCAGTCAGCACACAGGATGGCCAGATGGCCTATAGTGGGTGGGGAGGTGGGAGGGACAGGGGTGTGTGTGTGGGTACCTCATCAGCTGGACAGGGCTCTCGGCCTTCCGGGGACTGAAGAGGAAGGTGAGGTGACCCAGCCGGTGGCGGGCCTGCTCACAGGTGGACAGTTTGCTGCAGATGAAGGGCAGGGGCCACAGCCGGAACAGCCTGTGGGGGACAGCGGCTGAGCCCTGAGGCCCTCTCGATGCTGGGCTGCTCTCAGCCTGTGGGCCCTACGCCTGGCCTGGGCTGGGGGAAGTGCGCAGGGTCAAGATGCACCTGTCCCCTCCCAAGCAACAGACAGCCGGGCTCCCAGTCTCAGGAGGGCCTAGGTGACCAGCTGCCCACCATGCTGTGGAAGGAGGTGTCCCCAGAGCGAGTGGCCCCCAGCGGGAGCACACAGGGCTCAGTGTGCATCTGCCAGCCAAGCATCAGACCCTTGGCCAGCGGGGAGGCTTGATGGGGGTGGCAGGTGGGGATTTCTAAAGGCTTCATTTCTGGTGGAGCGGCTTTGAACTAATGCCAGGAAAAGGGGACATGCAGTGCCCCTCAACTCCACAGCATGGCCAAGACCCTGGCAGGACAGCATTGCTGTGTGGTCAGCCCGCCCACTGCAGAGCATCACAGTGGAAAGTTAGGGGGGTGGGGACAGCCCTCATGCGCATGAATGGTCCCAGCTTCCCGGTGCCTCTGGAAACCTGAGGACCTCCCCTCAAAGCCTCCTGCATAGACAGCCCCTCTTGGGTCCTTGTCACCTACAAGCCAGGACAAGGGGGTATCTGGGTCACAGCTGTTCAAGGGGGGCTGCGAGGAGGGGCTGGCTGCCCAGGCCTAGAGCCTCTGCATGAAATTTGGGGCCTCTGTGCCCTCAGTGGCTGCAGGGGACCCCAGTTCACAGCTGGCTGCCCTTCCTCTTGGAACCCAGGGCTCAGTGCCTGGCTCTGCCCCAGGGGGAGAGGCCCCAGCCCGGGGTCAGCGATCCCTGCCTCCCAGGAGCGTCAGCAGACACTCTACAGGCCCCACACCCACCTGCAGGCCCCCACGGCTGAGAGGAGCGAGAGCAGGAAGCTGAGCATCAGGCAGGTGGGCCCAGAGGCCTGCTTGGCCAGCTCCACCAGGATGCTGGCCTCGATGCCCTCCGACTGCCAGTGGCTGAGCTGCACAGGGCCCTCGTGGAACCTGTCACTGCGGAACAGCAGCTCACTGCGGGCCACTGTGTCGAAGACGGCTGCCAGGCCCCCCACGCTGGGTGGGGCGTCCCCAGCTTGGGGGTCTGGCAGGGTCGCAGGAGTATGCAGCTGAGACAGCAGCACATGGCGCTGGTCGTAGAAGATGAGCATAACTGGCGCTGGGCTGGGCGCACCAGGGGACATGGGCCATCCCAGGGCCTTGCAGCTCCAGACACTGCCGCCCCGCTCCCGGCACAGTTGCAGCCAGGGCTCATGTGTGAAGATGGCGCCCAGGCCCTCCAGGAAGCGGCCCAGGCCCTCCTCAGGCTCCTGCAGGCGGCAGTGGCACCATGTGCCCAGGACAGCCAAGCCCACACGGCCGGCCTGCTGCACCCGTGCCAGGAGCTCCTTGACCTGAATGGGGATGAAAGGGAAGTGCACCACGGCCAGAACCACGGCGCTGCTCTGCTCCGGCACCCAGCGGCCCACCAGCAGCCCGCTCTCCGCCGAGGTGCAACATGTGGGGAAGAAGACCTTGAGCACCATGCCGGGGACCCTGCGAGAGGGAGAGAGAGCTCACTCCACACTGCCCCCGTGACCCCACATCGAGGCACAACACATGGGGAAGGGGCCTTAGCGCCATGCCAGGGCCCTGCAAACGAGAAGGCATGGTCCCGCTGCTGACCCACAACCTCAAGACCCCAGGCGTGTGGGTGCGAGGTCAAGCTCACGCTGCTGTCACCACAGCCCTGCAGCGATGGGTGGCACTGGAATGCTTGCAGTTGGGGCCAGGTGGACAGTCAGCCTTGAGAGGTACATTGACACAGCCCAGAGCCCTGTCGGGAGCAGTGCCGCTTTGGCCTTGGACATGGAAGCCAGCAGGTGGAGCCCTTGCCTGTCCACCACACTGAGGCCATGCACCTCTGTGGGCTGACAGCTGGCCCATCTGTGCCCTCACTCACACCTTCCTTGAGCTCCACCTGCACCCCCTCCTGAGCCTACCTGCATCCTTCTCCTGGGCTCCCAACTATACCTCTACCTCAGCTCTTCACCTGGACCCCACCTGCATCCCCACCGCGACACCACCTGCACCCAGGCTGCCCAGGGCATGCTGGAGGCACCCCCACCGAGGGAAGGTTATGGTTGGGCTGTGGGTCTTGTGACCTAAGGAAGGTGTTTGGGGCCAGAAGGGAGGCTCTAAGGGCCCTGACTGGGAGGGTCACAGGGAGCCACTGAGAAGTAGGTGCCCACTGACCCTGAGAGCCCCTTCTTCAGGGTGGGCCCATTTGAGAGCTCCCAGGGCCTGACCGGGGAGTAAAGGGCGAGAAGCCGCTACGCCCAGACCTGACAGCAACAGTTGAGATGACTGAAATGAGGGGCCCTGGGCTTGTGCGGACCCTCAGCAAGCCCATCTTTGTGGAGACAGCCCCCCAGGGGTAAGAGGCTGGGGCTTGGGGTCCATACTGGCCTGTGGGCCCCACTTGCTCTGACCCAGCTTCTCCCGTATTTCACTTGCCAAACAGAGCAGAATACTAAGCAGAAGCCCCAGGTGGGGCCTCCAGCCCCAGGCACAGGAGGCCCTCTGGGCCAAGGGACAGAGGGACAGGTGCCCTCCTGAGGTCCTCCCACCAGCACAGGCATGGCTTGAGACCTCAGAAGTAGGTGCTCTTGGCTGTAGGGTCTGTCAGAAAGGGTCCTTTTAAGTGGGGGTTGCCCAACAGGGAAATCCAGTGCCAGCCCCCTGGGGCACCATCAGGGTCAAGTGCCCATCTGTGCCCGCTCCAGGACTGTGAGGCCACGCCCCAGGCCCTGCCTCCAGTGGCTGATCCAGGGAGTAAATGCACCCTCAGGAGCTGATGCAGTCACAGGGTGACCACCTGGGCGATGGACACCAGCACACTGCCCAAGGAATAGTTTTCAGGGGAGTGAGGAGCCCTAGTGGCAGACTGGGTTACACTGTGCAAGGTCAGCAGTTTGAAACCACCAGCCACGCCACGGAAGAAAGAAGAGGCTTTCCACTCCTGTAACGAGTGGAAGCCTCAGACACTCACAGGGGCAGATCTATCCTGCACTAGGGGCCCGCTATGCAGACATCGACTCAGTGTGGAGAGAGAGAGAGAGAGAAAGAAAGAGACAGGTCTGTCTAAATAAGACAGACTGGATGAACAATCTGGAGGAGAAAACAATGGGACCAACAGTTCTGGGGGACATGGGAGAGGGGGAGGTGGGGGAAAAGGAAGTGGTGTTAACAAACCCAGGGACAAGGAAATAACAAGTGATCCAAATTGGTGGGGAGGTGGGTGTGGGAGGACTGGTAGGGCATGATCAAGGGTAATGTAGTCAAGAGGAATTGCTGAAACCCTGGTGGGGACTGAGCATGATAGTGGGACAGGAGGAAAGTCAAG